TTCTACTGTAGTTATTTATGCAAAAGGAATGAAAACGTATGTCTGCAAAAGGACTTTGACATGAATATCAACATCATATTCTTTCATAATTGCCACAAACTAGAAAAAACAAAAGTATCCATCTATAGGTGATAGCACTGTAGCATATTATTATCATGGAATATCACTCACTAATAAAAATTGATTCTTATTGGTACAACAACACTGATGAATCTTAAAAACATTGTGATTAGTGAAAGTGGTGAGGTGTGAAACATATGTCATATGATAACATTCACATAAAGTCCTCAAACAGGCACAACTAAGTTATTGTGACATAAATCAACTCCCTGATTGCCTGGGGAGAAAGAAATGGACTTCACAAAACACAAGGGAGCTTTCTGGTGTTATTAAAATGTTCTCGTCTCGGTGTGGTGATTCTTAATTATACCAAATTGTCAAAATTTTCAGAACTATGCACTTTGAAATTGTGGTCATAATTGTATATAATATAGACCTCAATAAAAAATTGATTTAAAATGATCGATTTAGGGTATGAAAATTAAAATCCAAATTTAACTCAGTTGACATTCCCCACCTATCATATCAGCAAAAGATCAACAACACGATCCAGCAGTAAGCTGCAGGGAAATGGGAAATTTCAGATATTGGCTGGTGGGAATACAAAATATTACAATCAATATTATGGAGAATTAGATAATATTTAACAAAATTACATATGGATTTATCCTTTAATTCAACAATCTCACATCTAGAAATGTAGTCCAAGATACATTGATAAAATATCAAAAGTTATGTTTTATTCCTTGTAATAGTAAAAATATGGAGTTAAGACAAATCTACATCAATAGCAGACTGATTGAATAAATGATGGTACATCCATATAATTGTATATTATACAACCGTAAAATGAAATGAAGGAAACCTTTTTATACTGTGATATGGAGGCCTTAAGTATATATTATTTAGTAAAAAAAGAAAGGTGAAAAGGGATTCTTTCCTCCGGTGTATACTTTTGTCTGCTTTGTCAAAGATTAGATGACCATATGCAGATGGTTTCACCTCTGGATTCTCCATTCTGTTCCAAAGGTCTTTGGAACGATGGTGATCTAGAACCTCTTATATTCTCCTGGATAGAGCTTGAACCCATCCTCCGAAGTGAGGTATCACAAGAACGGAATAATAGGCACCACATGTACTTGCCTTCAAACTGGCACTGACTGATCAACAGTGAGGTGCTCAGACAGTAGTAATATTCTTTGGGGGTGGGTAAACTCACAACTAATGGACATGGTAAGCATTGTAGTGGGGGAAAGGGTATGTCTTAAATCATGGTTGGGATGTGGCAAAGTCATAACATGTAACCAAAATGTTTGTACCCTCATAATTTCCTGAAATAAAAAAAATTAAAAAATAAAAAAAACGGAAGGTGAAGAAATTTTGCATAGTGTGCTACTGTGATGGTTAGTTGTATGGATCAATGTGACTAGGTCATGAGGTGCTCATATATTTGGTTAAACATTATTTTGGGTGTCCGTGAAGATGTGTCTGGATGAGATTAACAATTTAATTGGGAGACTAAGTAAGGCAGTCTACCTCCCCACTGTGGGTGAGCCTCATCCAATCCTTTGAAGGCCTGAATAGAACAAAAGACTGAGAAAGAGAGAATTCACTCTTTTCCTGACAGTCTTCAAGCTGGAATATCGGTCTTCTTTTGCCTTTGGACTCAGACTGGAACTTACATTACTGGCAGTCCTGGTTCTCAGGTCTTTGGACTGTAGATCTTAGGGCTGTTTTCTTATAATCTCTCTCTTGAGATTGATATAATTTTTGTTTTGTTTTAAAAGACAAAAGAGTTTCAAATACCTGTAAATGCTGCTGCTGAGACAAAGCACAGAGAGAACTGTTGAAGATATCAGTTATAGAAATGATCACTGACAAAGGGAATTTCCTGAAGTAGTATGATGGGACAGAATTCAGAGCAGAGGTAGGGAGACAATTCTTACACACTTGGAAGGACATTTTCGAAGTACTAGATAGATAGATAGATAAATGGATAGATAGATTTGAAGATAGGTATATCTACATATATATAGAGAGAGTATATGTATATATATTTATATGTTTCTTGGTTCTGTTTCTTGAAGAACTTTGACTAATACAGCTACTTTATGTACTTTTCTATCATTTACATACATATATGTCTCTATATGCATATATTTATACAAATATATGAAACATACATATTTATATACATATATACAAGCACACATGTGTACTTATATACATATATATCTTTATGTTGAAAGTTGAATACAAACACATTATATATAGCATATATATTTTCTTATATTAATTGAGAGATAAAACAAACTATAAAGAAACAATTTCTTGAGGGTAGAGAGTAAAGACAGTGGGGAAGACAGAGAAATAAACTTGACTTTTCTGAATATATCTTGCTTTGTACATTTTACTTTGGAAATGTTTGAAGAATCATAAAACAAACTTTAAAAAGAATGTCTTTAAAAAAGGAATTTGTAACAAATAAATTTAACTGTTATATCAGCTTAGTGGTATAACTCCCTGTAGAGGAAATAAGTCAATTGACTTTAAAACAATTTGATTCTACATACCTGTATATCCTTAAGAGAAAGAAGAACTGCACAAAAAAAAGTCTTTAACTTTGGTTAGCAATTCTTTTCCTGGTGGTTTTGTTGGTATTGTAATTCTGAAATTGTTGCATGTGTAT